ATTCGATGTCGTCGGAACTGCCTTCCACCCCTTCCACGACAGCATCCTCACGGCCGAGCATGTGATGCTACGTACTTGTCAGTATAGACTAGGTTGGAAAGGACGAAGTGCCGGGATAAGAGAAGAGGAAAACATACCTCGACATTAATTTTGGGACCCTTGAACCATTTGCGTGCAGATACGAACCACCAAATTGTCACAATTACCATCCTGCATAACTTGATTAGCGACTACTCTTTCCCGAATCCACCTGCTTGGAGACTCAAGCGCGAAGTGATTCGTCAACAGAAGGAAGATACTCACGGTCCACCATACACAACAATAGTCCAGTTCATCAGTTCTGCCGTCAAATTATTGCCCCTCACAGCCGGAAAACACAAAATCGGCATCATGACCAAGATGAACGCACAAGCACAACATCCAACCGGCTTACTGAATTTTCCCAAATGCCACGGTCCGCGACGGAATCTGTTACCGACGAAAAACACACGTATGAAGACCGGAATCGTGAAGGCAACCATTGCAGCAATTGCTCCCACGGAGAAAATCGCGCCAATGGCTACAGAACCACCGAAAATGAGGAGTAGGAGTAGGATGCCGACAATGGTGTTGAACCAGACTGCGTTGATAGGCGTGTAAGTGTGTCTGTTAACTTTTTTCATCCATGAGGAGAAGGGGAAACAGTCGTCGCGTGCGTAAGCGAATGTCACTCTCGAGGCGGCGACCATACAGCCCTGGCCCATAAAGAACCCACAGACGATAGTTATGGAAAGGATAGCAAGAGCAGTGTTTTGTGGCATGATGGCAATGAGATATGACGCCCATGGTTGGCCGAGGTCGGATTCTAGGACGGCGGGAATATCGATGACGGTATATGCTACAACGAGTTGGAGTGCCCAGCCTGCGATACCGCCTACACCGGATGTCATGACGATGGCACGGGGAGCGGCGATGTTGGCGTTGCTGCATTCTTCTGATAGATGGAAGGCTGCGTCGTACCCGGACATCGTCCATATAATCGCAATGAAGGACATGAGGACCGCGACGCCATCTGGCCAATCTGTACCGTTTTGGATGGCCCATACTTCCTTCGAGGGAAAGAATTTGGGATGAGTCTCTGATCCAGTCACCGATGCTGGTATCAGGATTATCACAACAAAGAGCGCGACCATGTTCATGGTTGATCCATATGCGTTGAAACGGGCGATCCAGAGAGTGGGCATGCTGGATATGCAGCTGTGAATCAACATGACGAGGACCGTCAGCAGAAACACCTGCCAGTCCTTAGGCACATAGGTCGGATGAGTGATTGAGGCCGAAGCGAGGATCATAGCTGAGAGGGCGTAGTCGACTGCTGGCGCTGCAGTGACTTGGACAATCCAGTTTGACCATCCTGTTATCCAAGATGCAAATGGACCGTACCCGGGCGGAGCTAGAACAGCTGCTGTGTAGTACAAACCTCCGCTGTTAAGATCAGCTTTGCGAGGCTAGTCTTTGAATTGGAAACGGGATTCTTTTAACATACCTCGTTGGCATACTCGAACATAACTCCGCCATACTCATCGCTAGGCACTGGATGAAAAACCAACTGATCAACCACCCCCAGACCATCCCACCAGGCCCTGCATATCCCATGCCATAGTAAAGCGTACTCGCGAAACTCGGCAGGAGGCCAAGTACCGCGAACGATACACAGAACGTTGTCCAAAGGGAAAAATTTCGCTTAAATTCTTGTTTGTACCCAAGAGCTACCAAAGCAGCATCGTCTGCGCCCAGCCCCTCGAAATTCGGCGAGTCGCCATCGGGCAGGATCGCTGTGCCAGAAGGTCTGCGTGGGTCAGAACCGCTGTGGCTGCTTTTGATTGACTTGAGTGAGGCCATCTCAGTATCTCTATAGGTTGCCGAAATCTAACACGAATATACGAGATTTCGTCGACGACACAGGGTGTAGGTGAAACACAGAACGAGGAAGTCGTTGACTTGTACGTCAAACCGCGACCATCGGCGTTGTCTGCCCATGAGTTCGAGCTATCTTGCCCGCATCTCACGTTCCACCTATAAGCCATGCAAGGTCAAGGATCGACGGCAGCTATCTCCAGCTTATCCTGATTGGGCAAGTATAGCCTGAGCCTGCTTGTGTATCTTTAAGAAGTTTGGATGGGCCATCATGTTACAGATGTTGATTCTGTGTATGCTGTGTTCTGTTTATCGATAGCTTTCTTGACAATTTCTACAATAAGAATGGAAAAATCTAGCCGCGTCGATTCCCGTGCGCAGTGACATAATTCTCTGTCTACTTTCCATCTGATATGAATGGGTGATACGAAATGGCATCGCATAGTCTCGTCGGCTTGTTTGCACTGCGACAGGCACGGCGAGCGACATAGTTGCCCCTGTCACATTTGCTTATCTTTCACACGAACACCCATCTCATGTGAATCAGCCAATGATAAACAGCATAGATATGAGCCCTGTCATATCTGATATCCTTATCGCGGAGCTGACAAGGGTTGTATGCTTCTCGGAATTGAGTTTCGAGGATAGCGGGACTTCTCTGTCTGGTAAACATGGGGGCCTTCATCAGAATTGATATTGCTCGAGAATACATCAAAAATCATTCTCTTTCCAGTCTCTGATATTTGCGACTTGTTGGGAATATCTCGACAGTTGGGTTTTGACAGCTTCGATAATCTCGACCCGAGCCATCTCATGCACCTGCGGGCACTAAACTCAAGCTAATCGACAGGTGATTTGTGGGGTAGAAAATGTTACGTAAGATCCGCCTGCTTAATTGACCAGACGTCAGTATGCATGGGTTTCAAATTTGAAGACGGGGCGAGGGAGATGCATGCTGCTTTGGGTATGGCGATGACGAAGCCGAGACTGAGATTGTGGTTTGAAAGGTAAAGCGATGGATTATGTTAAATCGAGAGATTTCGATTATTTTGACTCGGCCAGAGCCAGTGGGTGATCGTTCTTTCTCTACCTATGGAGGTAGGTAGTACAATGTACTAAGAGAAGAATTTGAAAGAGGAAAGAGGAAAAGACAATGGAATACGTGTATATACAAGGGATATCTAATATCAAATCTCTTTGCATTTTTCAAGGCTCGCGCCAATAATGACGACAATAATCCGCCATGAAATCCCAATGAACAGCTTCCTTTGGTTCTTCCTCATCCTGGATTGGGATTGGAAAATCACTAGACGCCGGAAATCAGTTAAGCAGCATCACGCAATAAATGCACCTTGTTTACTTCCGTTTCACAAAAGAAATCTGTATCCTCTCGCCTGAGAGCTAGCTCGACAAGCGAGCGGATAAACAACAAGAGATGTGTCGCCAATTGTAACACACCTGCTTGAAGACTCAATTATCTCAATCAAACATTTGAAAATAGGCTTCAATAAGGCTCCTTCGTCGCCCAATAGATTTCACAAACTCGTCCCCATAACCCTACACGATCTCAATCTTCTCTTGCATGTATACCGCGGATCGCAGCCTGCCAGAAGTTATCGGTGTCTCCTCCGCGCCCTATATCTCAGAGCCTATACAAAATCTATTTCTTCTTATTTCATAGTGATCCGGATACCGAGTGTAACGGGGTTGAGGTTAGGCTCACACCAACTACGCCATCTGGACCAAAAGATCACAATATTCAGCGCACGCTGAACACGCCTAACACCGTACATATACAACCGACTATCACGTGCCCATTACACCGAGCCATCTCTCCATTAGATCCTCCCTACCTCGCCACAAAACTGCACCAGTCCGTCACAGCATGAGATAGAACATATCTCCTTCTTCTGGTTCAGAAGAATGTTGAGAGCTCATGTTTCGAGGCAGCGAGAGGAATATTAGGTCGAGTAGAAAAGCTTTTGTGACCAACACTCCACCGGTTGAGGGAAAGCCACGGATTTTAAAATCGCCTTAGTGAAGACAGTCTGCTCACTTGTGCACAGAGGAGGTAGTTAAGGACATGAGCCGTCTGGTCGGTATTCTGCTAGCAAAAGTCGATCGTGATCCGAGACCGGATACTTCGGACGGGAGGTATCGATATCAAAGGGGAGATGGAAGCCGAGCCATTGGTTGTAGTTTGATGGTAAAAGATAGCAGAAATTAGCGATAAACGTGAGAGTGATGTTGAAGAGTTTTGTAGCTTGATTTTGTGAGGAAAAGTGTCTGTGACTTAGAGTGATAAGTTAAATGATAGCTATAGATGGGATATATCGTGATAATCGATCTCGAAGCCAACCCATATTATGAGCTTTAGGCTTCCATGTCCGCGTCTCCTTTAACGATTGGGTAGGACCAGAACCTTGGAGTGCCATTGTTGTCGGAAACAATACCCGTGTTTAGACAATATTCAAGCAACTACGGGAAGGCTATATGTATACAGTCTTCTACCGTTTCTTCTGAGTTTTCTCGCCACCTCTAGTAGGAGCGACCACATTGTCATGTGGCTAAGCGAGAAAAGCGGTTCGCTTATGTTAATTAACACAACACAACTTACTGCAGTCAGGCAACGACGCATTTGCAATCCTCATTAAAGAGAGTAGATATATAAGTAAACTAGCTATATAAGGAGTGTAAGGCTACATTTCATCGATATTGTTTTGCTGTTTGCAGTTTGATACAAAGATAGTGCTTCATAAGTGGAGACATGGAGGTATCAGTCAGTATTCGGAAAGCGTAGCACTATCACGAAAAATTTATGCTTAGACATTAACATTCGCCCAATATATTGCCTTAGTGCCGGACAGATTGTTAGCCCAAAGCAAAGGACTTACAATGAAGAATGGTCATCAATGAGTGGGGTAGTAACAAATTGAGCCGGGTTCCACACCGCCAATTCCCAACCCCACCAAGTGCACGTAAGTACCAATCAGCACAAGTCGTTTGAAAAAAAAAGACCCCATCCCACACAACAACACCTACATGTGATTTTCATAATATATATAAGTATTAAACTCTCAGCAGCCAGTCAATAGGTTGATCCGGCCCTCTTAGCTCAATGGTAGAGCGCGTCACTAGTATTGGCTTCTATCAACACCGGTGATGACGAGGTTATTGGTTCGATTCCAATAGAGGGCATCAAATGTCAAGTTTGCATCTTTTTAACCCTTTTTTTTCTTTTTTTTTTTTTTTTTGCCTCCTTTGAATTTGTCTGCGAAGCGGCAGCGGAACGTCATTCGATTGATTTCATAAAACCCAGGATGCGAGGAAATGAGGAATGAGACGGAGATACAATACCCCATGAGGCTGTATCCTTTTGCCATTTGAAAGAATATGTCTGACAAAATAGTGAACTGAGGATGATGCTAACCGTTTTGCCTACGCGCGGAACCGCCAGAGTCGTCGAGCTTCAAAGCGAGTCAGCTTGGTATCACAAGATACCACCTATCGGTCGTGCTCATTAATTCGTACTGCTTTTATCCATGAGTGAAAGGCTTCTCAAGGCTAGGTCCTGTTCAAATCACAACAATGTGTGGATAGCTTCAAGCATACATAATTCAGCACTATTGTCCACAAAACCCGTGATGATAGGCAAGAATGCTCCCCGATCATCAGCGGTCTGACTGAGCAAGCTGTTTGCTTTCGCACAGGTGCTTATCACTTCTTGTGAATGAATTGTGTAATAGGAATTGTGCCTAGCTTCGACGACAGACCTCGCCGTATCATCGAAAAGATTGTGAAGCATGCACCACTTACAGTGCTAGCAAGTACGACGATCTAATGCGACCAGAAATGAAGGGTTTGATAACTTACACACTCGCATTCCGGTCTTGGACAATACTATTAATTTCACAGGAAACGAAGAGCATGCTCACTGCATAAACTCGGGCAACGATAAGTAGGTCAATTATAGCCGAAACATCTCGCTTCGGCGAGTTCTAGACGTATCAATAGTCCTGAATGCTATGATGGCTTCTGTAGAGAGATGAATAAGTGCGGCAAGGGTGGTCCTACTGTGTGCACTGATTGGGAAAACGGTGAATTTCGTCCTCGACGAAACATTGGTTGCTGGGCTTGAGGCTATGCTGACAAATGATGATTGTAGTACGCATTCAGTAGATGGTCAATGCTGACCGGGATTCAGCGCACATGGCTGTAGTGAAACGGATAAAGAATGGACTAGTGCGGTCATAATCGACAAATAAGAGTTGAAATAGAACGAGGGCACGGGAACCCAGAAATTACTAGATAAAATATTAGATAGTAATGTAATCAAGCAAGATTAGGCCTTCTGTCTCTCATAAGGTCTTGTGTTGTGTTTACATGTCCGAGAGAATCTTCTTTCTCGGATGAGTTAAGGATGTGAGGTCGTAAGCCAGGAAGGGCATTTTCGAAACACCAAGAAGAGTACTGTCTTTTGATACAATTTAAGCAAGTAAATCGCCGAATTTGCCCTCTTGACTCGTCACATCTTATTGGACGAGACTATTGTGCCAACGTGACCATCATGCAGCCCTCTTGCGAGATGCCTCGAAGTCCCTTCTGTTGACCGGAAATGTTGCGAGTCCATGCCTCATCGTTTGCTTTTGTGCTATTTAGACCAACTCTCTCCCGTCTGAACCGCAAGTAGTATTTCAGAAAGGATACAGAATATAAGGTTCTGTCGTGGATTGTGGATTTCGTTCATGGAACAGAAAGCTAAGCAAACACATCATTTCGTCGTCTATATATGAGACGCAAATTTGCGCCAGTTTTAGAGATCGTTGTAGTAAAGAGGCAACTCCAGAGGACTAGTATTCCCGACGACACCACTAACAACGTTCTATCTCGTTGACATTGTCTAGAGCGAAGACTTCAAAAGATAGAGGGCAGTCCATGGTGCCTCGAGCGATAGATAATGGAACACGAACTCAATACAATAAATGAGCGAGCGGGCCCATGAAGATCTAGACATCCGAGTATCAAGCTTGAGAAGAGTTGTACACGCCATGACCGCCGACTGGTTTGTTATCGTTCTATGCATGAAAAGTCATCTAAACATTCGGGCTTGAATGGCTTCCCATCTGGTCTTCGACTTGGCTCCATGCCACATCTGCCTGCAACTGGACCAATATTGGATTTTTCGTTGCTAAGCTGAAGAGGCTTTGAGGTTTAGCATCGATCGAGGCATGATCATAATAGCTCGTTTGCCACGTCTGGAACCTGGCACGCTGTGTTGAGGATGTTTCATAGAGTAGAATGAAGAAGAAACCATCTCGAGGAACGGGGATCGGAAGAAACTATTCTTTGCAATATTCGTAGCGCCTGAAATAATCCTTGTTGGGACTATTGTACACGAAGAGATCCAGGCCAACATTGACGTACTTCTCGCAGTAGCCGTTATGTTATAGATATCGGCAAGCCTTGGTAAAATCACGCATTGACCGCGTAAGATTCAAGTTAGATCGTGAGTGAGAACAACAGAATGGATCAGGCTTTGTGTTTATAGTGGTAGGTTTGCAGAGTTTACGCTCTCTACGAATCAAGGGCCAAAATTATCAGCTATTGATGATATTGTAGGTGAGAATTTTTTGAGATCTCGAAGGGATGACAGTATATGGACTTGCTTTACAATCATTACAACCACCTTGTCTATATAATCTATATAATATTGAGCTATTTGTGGATCACTAGTTAAAAAAACGGGTCACGTGAAATGCTGTGATTAGCTATAGCGAGGCCTTGGCAGGTGCACGGCCGAAAAGAAGGAACACGAAAATCTTACTCACGCCCGAATCAAAACAGCCCCGAAGCTTGCGTAGGACAGCTATTTGTGAGGACCCCTAACTACTTTCTTTATAGACTGCGCGAAGCAAGGTCCCTGGGCCCCGAAGCTTGCGAAGGGCCGCCGAGGAGTAGACCTTATCTATATAATATCGAGCTATTTGTGGATCACTAGTTAAAAAAACTGGTTACGTGAAACGCTGTGATTGGCTATAGCTAGGCCTTGGCAGGTGCACGGCCGAAAAGGAGGAACACGAAAATCTTACTCACGCCCGAATCAAAACAGCCCCGAAGCTTGCGTAGGGCAGCTGTTTATGAGGACCCCTAAGTACTTTCTATCTACGTACTTTCTTTATAGACTGCGCGAAGCAAGGTCCCTTGGCCTCGAAGCTTGCGAAGGGCCGCTGAGGAGTAGACCTTGTTAGGTAGTCTTGCAATTGAAGAGCGGATGGGTTAGTTCAGTCGTAGGATCGAGATGACGTTGGTTGGACTGCGTTATTGATATTGTCGTGTTATACTACTTGTAATCGGCAATCGTAGTAAAAGTCTCCTGATTACGCTTCTGTTAGCAATAAAGAGGAACTGTAAAGTTATAGAACCAGCCCGATATTAATGTAAAGTGTGAGGTCATCTGCAGCAAGAAGCTTAGGCCTTAATAACGCAAAACTATAGGGTATCTGTCGATCACGTGGTTAACTCTAAAAAAGTGTTTACAGCTACAGCCTCACGTTTGGGAACGCGCCTTGCCAGACGGACGACATATCTTCACTATCAGCGCAAAAATGGCTACAGAATCACCCCGAGGTCGTGCACGCTCTCGAACACCACTATCTGACGTATCTAAAGGTAGAGGAGGGTCTCGATCTGCCTCGAGACCTCGTCGTTCCATTACTCCACGATCTGTCAGTCGGGGATCCCGTCGCAACAGCAGATACAGAAGTGCAAGTCGCAGTGTCAGTCGCGGCAGAAGTCCAAGTCCAGTCAGAAGCACAAAGGTAAGCTTCAATTGCTCGAAAGATGGACTACACTAACATTTCCAGGTCGTTATTGAGAAGCTCACAAAGAATGTCAACGAAGCCCATCTTCGGGAGATATTTAGCCAATATGGACAAATTCGCGATTTGGACATGCCAATGAACCGATCTTGTAAGTATTTCTCATCTACTAGTGTACAATAAAGCTAACTCTTCAGTCAATACCAATCGTGGAACAGCATACATCCTGTACACCTCCGAAGCTGATGCTGAATCCGCAATCGCCCATATGCACGAATCCCAAATTGACGGAGCTGTCATCAATGTTTCTATTGTCCTTTCTCGTCGCAAATTCTCTCCCTCCCCACCTCTGGCAAGACGCGGTCTAAATCTTGATCCCCGAGCAACCTTCAATGCAGCTCCCAGTGCCAGACCACCTCCACCAGGCAGACGCCGATCGCCGATCCCACCATATGGAGGTAGACCTGAGAGAAATGGCGATACATACCGACCAACAAGTCGCTCGCGTTCGCGTTCCCCTAGACGTCATCGCACACGATCCAAGTCAGCTTCGTCTCGTTCGCGCTCTCCACCAAGAAGGGGTAGAGGAGGGGGTGGTGGAGGAGGGGGTGGTGGCCGAAGGGCAAGTCCAGCAAGAAATGGTGGCAGAAGAAGAAGTCCGAGCTACAGCAGCTATAGTAGTTACGAGGACCGAAGTCGCAGCAGGAGTCGGCAACGTGGAGGACGTGGCAGACGTTAATGTATAACCATTGTGATTTTCAGCGTTGGAGTTTGGGAAATCATGGCAAATCATGTATTGCTGGTTTTAGAGATACCAATTCATTTCTCTACCTTTGCCTATTCTGGTTGAGGCGGGTCTGCTGAGATGGTGAGTACTTAAGGCAGGCACGATGGACCGTCGATGTACCTAGGACATCTTCTATTCAACTCTTCCTTTTTGAATTCATCAACTCACTACCTAAAATATTGTTACTCTACTAATCACTGTGACTGATCTTTATCGATGCCTGTCAGTCCGGAACATACTAGGTAATTTGATCCTTTCCGGGACGTGCATCACTAACATACCACAGTCGGCTCTGATACGTACGGAGTACATCATCGCATATTCTCTTCCACCTAGTGATACCTACGACGGAGACAAACTAGATTCATTCACTGCCCGCGTCCTGACTCTGCCTTCCACATTCGCAGTGCCGCAATGGAGATGGGGAAGTCGGAGGGCTACACTCCTGAGGAAGCTTGCCCATCGATTTCTCATGAGATATCGAACTTCCAACCTGCGGATGGCAACTCGAAGAACTCAAGGGCAGCTGCGAATTCCAACAAGTCGCAAAGGTCGGATCTGAGCAGGTTTGATGCCAGTTATGACTGCACGGG